CTCAGCCAGCTTTTGCTCAGCCACCTGCCTGCCTTCCCCACCTCCCCATCCCTCTCCCACCTGCTGTACACCCAGCTTATCCCGCTGGTGGGCCCAAGGTGGACCAAAAGTGGGTCCAAATCGAGGGAGCTCCTTGGCCATCAGCTCCTGCAGCTTCTTGGCCATCAGCTCCATCGGGCCACAGCAATTTGCAGCATCTGCAAGATGGGTTTGGTAGAGACGGTTCGGCTCTGCTTAAGTCCTGCTGTTTTGGCTTTGTCTCGTGTTTGTGCTGGGCTTGGAGCTCTGAATTCATAAGCAAAGTGTCCGAAGTCTTCCCCCCCCCCTCCTCTTCAGTGTGTAGCTTCTGACATGCAGAGTCACAGCGGCCAAGCGCAAGAAAGGGTTAACGAGGGGCTGGCCTGTGTTTCAAAGTTGCTTCTGTGAGGAGGGTGAGCTTTAAAACAAGGAGCTTTTTAGCTTTTTCCCCAGGAGAGAATTCTCTAGAGAATTTAGTTACAGGTTTCTACAGAAAAGAGAAAAAAAAAAAGAAAACCATTTGCTGCTGCTCCAGCGGCTCCTGCACTTCATAGCTGGGTTCAGCTACCTCTTCTGTTTCAGCAACTTAAAAAAAAAAAAACCAACCAAAAAAACCCCAAACCAAAAAAAAACCCAACCTTGAAAATGGAAAAAATTGCCTCAGAGATTGTTGTCTGCAGTTTCCCTCCAAGCCACCTTTTTCAGAAGTGCCTCCCGAGACCCCCATGTTCTCTCCCGGGGCATTAGCCCATAGTTAATAAAATTTCAACTGCCTCAGAGCTTTTCCGAGTATGTGCATGGTAAGCACAGGAGAGACTGAGTGGTGACATTAACTGTTCGTGTCCCATGGTTCTTAACACCTGAGCAAGGAGGAGGCTCTGTGTGTGCGGCAGAATTAATTGGCGAGAATTAGTAACCTTTCTTTTCCGTCAGTGTCCATTTCTGTGGCTGTTTTCCGTTCTTTTCCTTGAAGCACTGAGATGCGTCTTGGTGTTCCTGTCCTCTTCCAAGAAATCCTCTGAATGAATAGCTTTCTCCCTCAAAAAGATGGGCCAGGTTTTACTCTCAGCTGCTTAAATTGAAACTGGAGGAGCTGGACTCCTATCCCTGAGGATTTAACTCCAATATCTCCGCTAGAAACTAAAAAAGCATCCACTCTTGCGTTTGTCTCAAATCCTTAGGAGGGAGATTGAAACACAGGTTTGTGATTCTGCTGCTGCTTGTCCTCCTCCCATCTCCCCACCCGCCTCTCTCATTGCATCCCACTATACTCAGATCACTAATGCTCTGAAATTGTTCATCACTGCTCTGAGTGCTAGAACAGAATTGGCAGCTGGTTTCCAGCTTCCCTGTAGCAAATAACAAGTTTACTGCCAAAACATCTTGCTCTTGTTCAGGGTGAGAAAGCCTTGGCCTTGACCCTATCAAGGCTTAACTAACGAATTTCATTCTGTGTTGCAAGATACCACAACTGGGGAGTTGAGGAGGAGGAAAAGGCAATGATCAAAATTCAGTTTAACATGTCTACATTCCCAGTTCGTACATGGCTTCCATCTTTCTCAGATTCTCCTTGGCACTACGTGTAGTTAAGACCTCTAGTCCAGCAAATGTGCACCAAAGGAACCTCAGCATCTGGTCCATTTATCTTGGACCAATCCTCTAGATTATCAGGTATATCCATCTACTGCAAGCTTCCCACTGACAGACTTGTTGAACTCCACACCTATGCTGGGCCACTCTAAAGATAACCTGCTTGGTGATACGTGAACTAATTCATCTCAGGATGCTCGCAAGATAGCTAACTGAGAAGCTTCCATGACAGCCATTACATTCGGCATGCTGAGCTCGTGCCAGGCAGGTGAGGAGTGCCCAGGCTAGCATACGCTTGAGTTTCTCCTACAAGATACTAACAACACTGAGCATTCATTCATTTTAAGCCATAGTTTAACATGCTGAGACAGCATACCAGTCTGGGACAACCTGTTCTGGTATCACATCATGCACAGTTGCCTTCAGAAAATGAAGACAAAAGCATGCGAGGGCACCTCACAGTCTGTGTGTCAGAGATGTTCAAGGATGTGAAAGAATATCCCTTGTACTGACTGCACTAAGCACTTCTAATGCTCAGGTGTGGTTTGTACCTCAATAATACGCAGCTTTTTCCAGCTGGAATAATTCCCTCTTGCCCACTTCAACTTACTTGGCCAGTAGACTACAAGTTGGGAGGTCAGGTGTGAATATCACATGGCACTTCCCAGAGACCATCTTTTGCCTTTTGCTTTTTATCTCCTCTAGTACAGAACTGAGGATAATTCCAAAATCCAGGTAGTATCTCACTTTCAGGACCTATTAGTAAAGGAGATGCATGAGATATAGCTAATAAAAAAGCAATTGTTCCTTCACCATAGCTTTCTGTCTGATGATGGTAAGAGTACTGAGGAGATGTTATTCTCTCTCCTGCTTGTAGAAGCCCATTCTCTACACATGCCAATGGCATATACGTCTGTTACATCTCAGTGAAGCTGAAACCTTCCTCCTGCTGGTATTTTCTTCCTGGCATAGGCTTGTGATAGCAGTGAAGTGGAAGATAGGTAGCATAGTTTTGAGTAACAACTGTGTTTTGACAGCCATGATTGTATTTCTGACCAGTTCAAACCTTCACTTGTCATCCCATGCAGAAAGACGTGAGGTGAGTAAGTCCAGAGGCAGAGGAGAGCTCTCCGTGGAAAAGTCACAACAGAGCATTTATAAGCATGTTTAGAAAAACAGGCTACTGGCAGGGAAACCCCAGGTAGCCAAAAATACCTTCTATGTGGTCAGGCAGAAGCTGCTGTTCTGAGTCACCCCTGAATTAATACAACACAAATCAGTGAGATTTCCAGCCCGGTGATCGGGCGGTATCTGGTCAGACCTCCGAAGCCTTTTTTTGCCAATTAGTTTAAATAATGTTGAGTCAACATTCTTTAATGCTTCTTATGTGTTCACCTTCTCCCTCTTTCCCCTTCTCCTTTTTTCACCCCAAAATTGCAAAGCCTTGCAGCAGGTACAGTCAGTTATTTCCTTCCTGAGCCGTTCTGGTCTTCCCTCCTCTTTCACATCATCTGCAAATGGTACCAGGGAAGGGAACTTACAACCAGACTTAACATTTCAGTGACAAATTTATGGGCCCAAGAGCTGAAAATGCTACAATAACTGGAGCACTAGTGAAAAAGGTTTAAGGTCTGCTACTAGTTGTAACCTTGGGTGAGTCAGTCCTTTAGTGCATCATTCCCTGTCCATAGAAGGAAGAAGATAGTATTTTTTAACCTCAGGTGGGCTGTGAGGATAAGACCGGAGAAGGTGAAGTATGCAGAAATGATGGTAAAGCAAATGGAATTCCTCAAATTAGAGAAGGGAGCTGACGATTCAGGACAAGTATTTCTTCACGTGGGAAGCTCCGGGCTTGTCTGGAGCACAGGGGCTGTAGAAACAGCTTTGCCAGCCCTGGAGTTTTACCTTTGTGTTGGCACTGGTGAAGTAACACCAGTGGCTAAGCCAATGCAGCCAAAAATCACTGGTCTCCTTCCTGCTGGGATAAGCGTTGCCAGTGATGCAGCCCTCAGGAACGAACCTGGACAATTTGATCCAGACTTCTCCCCTGTGGGAAGAGGGATCACTTTGTCCCTGAAATTGGTTACAAAAAGGGGACTTGGGCATTGGTACGAGAGCCGAGTTGAGAGTAACTGGGAAATTCTGGTGCTCCACAGAAGAAGTGCACCTCAGTTTCATTTCTGGCATTTTGGTTTGCCTCCCCCATTGAAATTACTTCCCTCCCCCCCTTTACTTCTTCCTCCCATTGCCTCCAGCATTTTATGGATTTTATAATCTTTAAATCATTCCACAGAGTTTTATTTATCTCTTGCACCTGTAGCAAGCTCTTCCCTCCCCTCCACACCTCCCCGCTAACGCTGCATCTCTTAACTTCTCATATATAATTTCTTTAACTTCAAGTTGAATGGCTCAGGTCAACTTTCACTCTCCCTCCTTCTTTGCCTCCCACAGCAAAACATAGGAGTTCATAGAATCATAGAATGGTTTGAATTGGAAAGGACCTGAAAGATTGTCTAGTTCCAACCGCCTTGCCACAGGCAGGGACACCTTCCCCTAGACCAGTTTGCTCAAAGCCCCATCCACCCTGGCCTTGAACACTTCCAGGGATGGGGCAGCCACAGGTTCTCTGGGCAACCTGTTCCAGTGTTTCACCACCCTCATTTTAAAAAATTTCTTCCTTAGATCTAATCGAAATCTCCCCTCTTTCAGTTTAAAGCCATTGTCCCTTGTCCTATCTCTACATGCCCTTGTAAAAAGCCCCTCGCCAGCTTTCTCATAGGCCCCCTTTAGGTACTTGAAGGCTGCTAGAAGGTCTTCCTTATAGAGTTCAGAGTATTATTTTGAAGCTGAATCCAAAGTCTTGGAATCAGGTGAAAGTTTCTATTGATTTTGGTGGACTTTGGGACCGAGGTTGCCAGCTGGTATTTTTTGAACACCCGAGCTAGACTTCTGATAGAGGTCATCTCCCAGAAGGGTCAGCTGGACACAGTGAGCACTTTCCAGTCTGCCCTTTCTATTTAGAGCCAGAAGTGAGGTTTTAGTCGGTCGCTACTACTGTTAGGCAGTGGGACAAAGGTGGAAAGGCTGAAGCATGGTACTCGTGACTTGTATTTTTGACTATTTTTTCTATACCAGTCTTAGCACTTCGTGTAAGTACAACTTTACAGCTTTCCTAGGTTATTTTGTAGAGTTAACTCCAGTTCTTTGCAGAAAGAAAAGGGCAAGGGCAGAGAAAGAGTTTCTGATCTTCGTCAGCTTTCTGTCATCTACCACTATCTTTGGGGTTAAAATTCAAGCCATGCCATGTGAAAGGAGGGTTGTGCAAGGTCTTACTACTAGCAGCAGATCGATCAAATGTATGCTCCCATCAGGCATCTGTAGGACATAAGTAGACAAAAACATACGAAAAGGGGAAGGAGTATAGAAAAAAAAGAGCCAGGGAGACTCAAGAATGCCAAGATCAAAAAGATTCTACCAACAAGGCATTGTCCTTCCATATTAGAAGAAGTCTTGAAAACATGTAAGAAAAATGTTATTCCAGCTGCGTTTCCTGCTTTCCCAGCCTCAGGAGTAGATGGAATAGGATTTATTTTGCAAGTTTCATCCCTCAATTAGATTCTGCTGCTGAAACTTAACAAGTTATTTGTGTCTATTATCACACATTGGCGAGATTTCAGTAAAATGTACCAAATGTTCAAAGCATGTACTGAGTAGAAAATATGGAAGCAGCCTTGTGAAAGATTAATGGGGTTCTTATAGGGACAAGCATCCATATACCACAGCACAGTAGAAATGACAAGAACTCTTATCACATGTATCGATTACTATCTGCTCTTCAAGACCGTTAAACTCCTTAACGCATTTCAGAGTAATGAATGAAGTTGCTTTTTGGTATAAGCACTTTTCCGAATGGAGTCCTAGCCACTGCGAAGTTTGATAGCAAGCACTTTAAAGCACTTGCTTAAAGTTCTGGTACACAACCGAGTTTTGGGTTGACTTGGACTCACATGGAGATAGAATTGCCTCTATATCTAGAATATGGTTCTAGAATAAAGAGTCAAGACAGTATTCAGTTACTCATCTTACAGAACAAAAAGAGAAACACAGTCTCCAAAATGAAGAGTCACCACTTTTTGCTTAGCTGTGCTAGTGCTCCAGGTTTGGCCAAAACATCCAAAACAGGACTATTTTTTGTCTCTGTGGTCATCTCCAGGTTCAGTCACCCCTTTTCCTGAATTGCCTCCAGGCAGCAGACTTTCCAAGGGTATTTATATCCTAGTGGGGATTTGCACAAATTCCTCTCTGCCTACCTTCTAAGCGAATTAACAGGATTTAGGTATTTAGTCGCTTAGAAAAAATTTCTTGAGATGCCTTTCACCATATGTCTAAATAGCGTCCCAGATCACTTCCTACTAGATAAGCAATTTCATCCGAAGTAACAAGCGATAGGACAAGAGGAAATGGCCTCAAGGTGCGCCAGGAGAGGTTTAGATTGGATATTAGGAAAAATTTCTTCACTGAAAGGGTTGTCAGGCATTGGAACAGGCTGCCCAGGGAAGTGGTTGACTCACCATCCCTGGAGGTATTTAAAAGACGTGTAGATGTGGCGCTTAGGGACATGGTTTAGTGGTGGACTTGGTAGCACTAGATTAACAGTTGGACTTAGTGATCTTCAAGGTCTCTTGCAACCTAAACAATTCCATGATTCTATCAGCCTCTAGTAGAAGTGCTGCACTGAACAGTGACCATAGAGATGAAAGTCAGTCTGGCACCCCTCTTTCACAGTAACGTGGGGGGATGACTGCAGAGAAGGACAGTGCTGGAGATGGATGGGAAAGACACAATGAGTAGGAAGCAACAGCTTACCTCTGAATCTCACATGGTTACTTGTATTTCCACTCCAGGACGCATTCCAGGCCTTCCATATCAATCCCACCTTGGTGCAAAAGTTTCTCAAGCCATTACTTATTGGAGAACTTGCTCCAGGGGAACCTAGCCAGGACCGAGATAAAAACGTGAGTATTTGTTTCTAAGCTGGGGCTTATGATGGGTATGCTCCATCATTTTTTTCCTCTTGGGATGTCCTCCAAAGAGGGAGAAAATTGCTCAGTGACTGGACACTTCTGTCTAGCAACATACGCATCCCAGTATAGGTGAAAATGTGTGTGGGAGGGAGGTGACACATTCAGACTGCCTGTACAAGCCTTTCCTTTCCCACAAAAAGAGACCAACAGCTCTGTCTATGGTGATCATGTCCTGTTTCTAGCAGATCATTCTAGGTGTCCAGGATGGACTGATCGCATACTGATGGGAAATGTAAACTGAGACAGGTGTACTGGGAAATGTGCACCAGCTCTTATGAATAATGTCCCTCCTGCTGTTCCTTCTCTGGTGACCAAGCTCTAAAACATGTCATCGCTTGCCTGTTACAGGGGGGAAGGAGAGGAGTAGGCAAAAAAGTCAGAAAATACTTCCAAACAAGTTGCTCACCACTTGGACAAGACTTGAATCTCTTTCACTGCTCTCTTTGACAGATTAACTCCCAGGGAAATACCTCTTTGAGACTCAAACTGACTTGTCCTCATGAGCCCAGTACCCACAAAACTCTGGAGAGCAGCCATGTTTGTGCCATGCATGGCATGAGCGGTGTGCACCTATGGGTGAGGTGAACCGATGTCTCATTTCGGTGGCTGTGCTTTGAGGAGCAGCAACCCACCAAGTACCTTTTCCACCCGCTCAGCATCCTCAGGGCAGCTCTTTATCCCTCCCAGATGGTCCATTCATTCATTATTCAGGCACTGTGCGTGGCTGACTAACTCTTGCCACGAAACTCAATCCCGTCCCGTTGTTTGGGACTGGCCGTGATTATGATATATCTGTGTCACTCACAATAGAAGAGATGACGCTAACCCATGTTAACCCAGGAATGCTCTTCATGAACGATTACACAGGAGCTGACCCCCGTAATAAATAAACAATGGGTGCTCTGATATTGGGTGCTTGTCATCAGAGCTCTCGTTATGCATAAGTACTAGGGCTGACTTATCTCCTCCTCCAGCTGCCCCTTTAATGCTTGTAAAGCTCATTCAGACAAGAGTCATCAGCTGATGTAACTCTCAACAGAGGCAGGTAGTGCCGCTGATTCACAGCAGCAGGCTTGAGTTTCTCTCCTAGCTCAAGGTGCAAAAGGTCAGGATGTGGGCTCAGATCAGCCAGGATGTTTATTCATAGGAAAGCACTGTGAAAAGCTAGAATACAGGGTAAGTGTAGGGGCTTCCCGGGAGTAGCCAATCAACATAAGAAAGAGCTGGAGTCCTTAGTATGGAACTTAGCCTTCCTTCCACAGACATGTTCAGACTCACTTAGAAGCTGCATGCTGTGTCTTGCATGTCTATTTTGCAGTCCCAGCTGGTGGAAGATTTCCGGACCCTGAGGAAGACAGCAGAGGACATGGACTTGTTCAGAGCAAATCCTTTGTTCTTCTCACTTTACTTGGGCCACATTATTGCAATGGAAGTTTTGGCTTGGTTAATGGTTTCATACTTCGGTACTGGCTGGATCACAACTCTCATCCTCTCCTGCATCCTTACGACTTCCCAGGTGAGAATCATAGAATCACAGAATGGTTTGGGCTGGAAGGGACCTTAAAGATCATCTAGTTCCAACCCCCCTGCCATGGGCAGAGACACTTTCCCCTAGACCAGGTTGCTCAAAGCCTCATCCAACCTGGCCTTGAACACCTCCAGGGATGGGGCAGCCACAACTTCTCTGGGCAACCTGTTCCAGTGTTTCACCACTCTCATTGTAAAAAATTTCTTCCTTAGATCTAATTTAAATCTCCCCTTTCAGTTTAAAGTAGTAGGCACAGAGCATACTGTCTACGCAAATCACTTAGGAGAAGGCCAGTGTGCGCTGAACTTTTCATATTAGGTTAATCACCAGTGCAAAACATTCACACCTGTGAAAGATATTCAAAACATACCTGCCACTGTGGTGCCTTCTGGCCACCCCTACTCACTGCTGATTGTGGCTCAGACATTTTTCTCGTCTCTTTGTCCTTTCCTTTGACATGTTGGTGGACTTGGTAGTGTTAGATTTGCAGTTGGACTTGATGATCTTAGGGGTCTTTTCCAAGCTGAATGGTTCTATGATTCTATGTTGCCCTCCAGAATGAAAACAGAGATCTTCACCTTCTCACTTCACTTAATTCCCTCTCTTCCTCACACTCACAATTTGCCTTCTATCTCCATTTCCTTTTGTGCTTAACTCTGATTTCAAACAGCTTCCTAACTACTTCATTTCCCTTCATCCCAGGCCCAGGCAGGGTGGCTGCAACATGACTTTGGACACCTCTCTGTCTTTAAGAAGTCTTCCTGGAACCACATCGTCCACAAGTTTGTCATTGGACACTTGAAGGTAAAGGACATTATGGACCCAGGGCACTGTAGAAGCAACCACAGTCACTTTGACTATGTCGAAGTAGGAAACTGCAGCTCTAAGCCTTTTTCCTTCGTTAAATTGCATAAAACCCTATCTTAACATCCTGTCATATTTTCACCACACACTCCACTAAGGTATAATATTTTTCGATTACATCCCATTCAATCAAGATGCCTTCAGAACTTCTATCCTGTCCAGTGCAGTCAGGCATTTCAACATCCACCTGCAGCAGGAACTTCTAGAGGGAGGGACATAACTTGCCTGTTCTCCCAAACAACCCACTTTGTCTTGCCTGGTTGCTCACAGGCACAGGCAGAAGAGGGAAACCAGTATAACAGTAAGGTAGGAAGAGTGTTGGACTTGGTGGTGTTAGGTGAGTGGTTGGACTCAATGATCTTAAAGGTCTTTTCCAACCTAAATGATTCTGTGATACAGCTACTAATACTAGGACACAGACCTGTTGGAGCGAGTCCAGAGGAGCACCATGAAGATGATCCAAGGGCTGGAGCACCTCTCCTATGAAGACAGGCTGAGAGACTTAGCGTTGTTCAGCCTGGAGAAGAGAAGGCTCCAGGGAGACCTTCTAGCAGCCTTCCAGTACCTAAAGGGGGGGCCTGCAAGAAAGCAGGAGAGAGACTTTTTACAAAGGCGTGTAGTGATAAGACAAGGGGCAACAGCTTTAAACTGAAAGAGGGGAGATTTAGATTAGAGATAAGGAAGAAATTTTTTACATTGAGGGTGGTGAGGCACCGGAACAGGTTGCCCAGAGAAGTTGTGGCTGCCCCATCCCTGGAAGTGTTCAAGGCCAGGCTGGATGGGGCTTTGCACAACCTGATGTAGGGGAAGGTGTCTCTGCCCATGGCAGGGGGTTGGAACTAGATGATCTTTGAAGTCCTTTCCAACCCAAACCACTCTATGATTCTGTAATTTCACCTATGGGAAGACATGGTGACATGCAGCTCTCTCAGAGTGTGTTTATTCCCTGTTCTTTCAATATGGATGCTCCTTAGTGAAGGCAAACCACCCCTCTGAAACCAGCTTAATCACTTACTGCTTATTGCTAGTTCAAAAGCAAATGACAGTTTAGCCGTAATCTGAGTTTTACTGTTCTAGTTTCTGTAAATGAATGGGTAATCCTACCATTGGAGGAGCTGTACTTTTCCATGGATGAACTCCTTGTTCTTCTATCTGCCCAGGGTGCCTCTGCAAACTGGTGGAACCATCGTCACTTCCAACACCATGCCAAGCCCAACATATTCAAGAAGGACCCAGATGTGAACATGCTGCATATTTTCGTCCTTGGAGATACACAGCCTGTTGAGGTAAAGGCAAAGAGGGTAAAATGTGGAAAACCATTGTCCTAAAGGGTTTTAGGGGATGCTTGTGAAAAAACAGGAGATGGCTGATGTTGGTAGACATGACTTAGACAGTCAAGACTTCTAGAAATGCTAAAGAAAGAAATGCTTCATCCAGGGATTTTATCTGTCTATGTTGTCTGACAGGAGTTTGGCTCTCACACCCTCCCAGACCTTGGGCTGAAGAGCAAGATTGACTGTATAATTCCCTGTCCATTTCCTATACTGACCACAGGAGAAAGTGTTTGGGGGTAGGCTGGGAAGAGTGATGAAGGTGGGACTGGAAGGAAAGTAGAAAGCTGTTACAACTTCATCCTGCTGGCTTGAAATATCAACATGAGGGGAAAATATGGTGTTCCTCAGAACTTCATCAAGAAATTTCAAAACCGATCTGCCATTTCCACAGAAAATATCTTCCAGTATTAGTCCAGCTGTGGTTCAGACAACCTGTACAATGTCCCCTCCACTGGAGCCTTTGCCATGCAGTTGAGGGGAAATTGCTTCCATAAGCAATATTTTCTTACTTTCTTACCTTAACTATGTACTGTCATGCTGCACATGAAATAACAGGCTAGGTCAAGGTGCTTTAATTCAATCTCTCCTTCTAGAACCAAAATATTTACTGTCTATTGTATAAAAACCTACACAAAGGACATAAACCATATACCAGCCTTGGTCTGTTTTACAATGGAACAAGGATTTCTGGTTTTGAAAACAAAAAAACAACCAAAGAAAATAAAAATAAAAACATCTGCAGCAAGTACAACTCAGGGGAATACAACATTAAAAAGTTAATGGTTTCTCAGCCAGGTTTTATACTCTTGAGAAAGTGACTCCAGACACATGTAGGGAACGTACATGCAGTATATGGACACGTGTAGACAATGTCTTGCACACACAGAATTTTCAAGAGGCAGAAGGGCTCTTATATATGACTAAAACAAAAGCCTTCTCCTGGAGTATAAAAAAGCCATTATCTAGAAGATGTAAATCAGTGTAACGCTCTTAAATGTGTGAGTACGACCCATTGGAAAATCTTGTGCCTGATAACTGGGTTTAAAAGCAGACGATGGTTATACCACTTAAAGGAAAAACTAAGAATGTAGACATTTATGACAAGGAAGACTGGATCTCCCTCCTACAAAATACCTGAGATGTTAGGCCAGCATCAGTCTATCCTATTACTCTTTCACATTTGTATATAATCCTTTTCCAGATGATGCTAAGCAAACCACCTTTCAGAGCTCAGACCAGAGTGAATGATGTGGCTGATTTACTGGTGCTCCAAGACTTCCCTTACTTCATTGGGAAGTTGCTATGCTGGAAGCAAAAACGCAAGTTCACGACAATCCACATGCTCCAGGCATTAGCTTCTTGTGTAAACACTCCTGGAGCTCAAAAAAGACACTTCTGTATAGCTGTAGGTAGTTCACTAAGGCAGTGAGGTTAGGAGACCAGGTGCTCTTGGCTCCCTCTTTTCACTGAGAAGACATGGGCGCCTGCAAAAAATGCAACAACCCAAGGTCTGAACCTGCGATTTTGGAGAAACTTCTCTGCATCTGCTCTCTGTAGGTGGACCATAGTAATCCAGGAGCGGGTGCAGAATAGCTCTCAATGACAGTACGCTATTTCCTATCACTTACACATCAAATTAGTGACACGACATTATAGATTTAAGCACCTCTGTGTGACTTGCCGTAGTAAATGCTAAAGATCACGGTAGTTTTCCCACTGTTGGTAAAGTAAGCTTTTACAAAATCTGGCTCATGGCAGGAGTTCATGGGGGCTGATGACTGCAGAAGTCAAAAAGGATCAATAGTTGGGACATTTTGCAGCGAAGATTACCCAAGGATCAGTGTCTTGCACTGGCAGCCTGGGTAGCGTCTTCCCAAAGGTCAAACTTTATGCCTATCACATTTGTATTGGTAATGAGGGAGATGGGCTGGAGTACCTCTCCTATGAAGACAGGCTGAGAGAGTCGGGATTGTTCAGCCTGCAGAAGAGAAGGCTCCAGGGAGAGCTTCTAGCAGCTTTCCAGTACCTAAAGGGGCCTACAAGAAAGCTAGAAAGGGACTTTTGACAAGGGCATGTAGTGATAGGACAAGGAGCAACAGCTTTAAACTGAAAGAGGGGAGATTTAGATTAGACCTAAGGAAGAGATTCTTCACTGTGAGGGTGGTGAGGCACTGGAACAGGTTGCCCAGAGAAGTTGTGGCTGCCCCATCCCTGGCAGTGTTCAAGGCCAGGTTGGATGAGGCTTTGAGCAAGCTGGTCTAGTGGAAGGTGTCTCTGCCCACAGCAGTGGGGTTGGAACTACATGATCTTTAAGGTCCCTTCCAACCCAAACCATTCTATGATTCTATGATAGCAGCTCTTAGCACAGCCACAGGCATGGAAAGTGAAGTGCATTAAAATGCCATCAGGCTCTCAAGTAAACAGAAATTATCTGAATATCAAGCCAGAAGACTTTAAAAAGGAATTTACACCTAGCACAATTACAAAGTCAAGATATTTAACCGTATCAAAACACTTTTTACCTGGTGGTGGAAATTTAGTCAAAAACTCCTCAGTCACTAAAGAAAGCAGTATTGCAGAGCATCTTCTCTTACATGCAAGCATCATAATCCAAGCCTGAGCTTTCTTCTCTTTGTCCTGCAGTATGGCAAGAAGAAGCTGAAGTACCTGCCTTACAACCACCAGCACGAGTACTTCTTCCTTGGTGAGTATCTGCTCCCCATCTTCTTTTCTCCCTTAATGCGAATTGACCTTTCCAGTCCCTACTGTGTTAGCAGAGCAACTCCATAAGTCTGGACTCATCCTGCCGTTCTTCAGGACCAGCATCCCCTATGCAGGTCCCAAAACGTGTATCCTCCAGTGATATCCAAGCATCTTGAGTGTTGCCAGCATGGCCATGGCCAAACAAGGCAGACAGCAGAGATGGGGAAATAACCTCAGTGTGAGACGCTCCACGGAAAGCTGCATGTTGCCAGTTGATGTGCTTTGATAAGTCAAGGTGAATGGGTGTGAAGTCGAGCCTACTTTCTTCACAGAAAGGCACCAGCACCTCACCTCTCTTACCAGCGCTAGGCAGGGTTGCCCTAGAACCAGTCCTAAATCACTGGCTCACTCACGTCACACACCTTTCCACCTGCCGACGGCCAAAACATTTCCCTTTGCTTTGCAGTCTTCCCGCCTCTGCTCATCCCCGTGTATTTCCAAATCCAAATCATCTCGACCATGATCAGGCGCAGGTTCTGGGCGGTGAGTGAAATGTTCCCTCAGTCTTTATGGGGTCCGGCTGGATCGTAAGAAGTCACACTTGAGTAGGGAGGGAGGCCAGTTGTCTCTTCAAGACAACTGGCAGAGG